AATCTATAATAATAAAAGCATGATATGCTAATTTAGACCGATGTCCTTCCAGACATTCTTCTGAACAACCCTCCAGATAAAGCCAAGGCTGCTAGGGCTGAGGCAGCTGTGGAAGCAGGGGCGGGAGGGTGGGAGGGCGGGCAGGAGGTGGGGGGCAGGCAGAGGAGGCAGCTGTTGTGGCGGGGCAGGGACTGGGGCAGAGGCAGACACTGTGGGGGCGGGGGCCAAGCCCCTTGCATGAATTTCATGCATTGGGTTTCTAGTTATGTATAACAGGGTATTGTAAAAATTAATTTACAAATTTTTTATTAAAATGTTTCTTACATACCTTATATTGGCTGGGTCGAAAAAATATTCGTTGTGGGCATGTAGCCTGCGGGCTGCGAGTTTGACTTGCTTGCCCTAGAACAGTGGTTAGCAAACTGCGGCTCTCGAGCCACATGCGGCTCTTTGGCCCCTTGAGTTTTTAGCAAAGGCCAGCTTAGGAGGACCCTAAATTAATAACAATGTGCCTACCTATATAGTTTAAGTTTAAAAAATGTGGCTCTCAAAAGAAATTTCAACCTCTGTACTGTTGATAGTTGGCTCTGTTGACTAATGAGTTTGCCGACCACTGCCCTAGAACATTAAAATGTAGAAGATATAAACACTTCAAATAATTATTTTTAAAACTTGCAAGTATTTTCCATTGCCCTGCACCTCCCAAACCCTTCCCCCTCGTCCCTCTGAGAGGTAGATGGCAGGCCTGCTGTGTGGACCCGACCCCTTGGCTGTGGGAGAGATGGTGAATGGAAGCCCCTGCTCACTTCGTGCCCCACTCACCTCTGTGGACCTGGGGGCTTCGTTGGGGCTGCTTACCCCCCCACACCAAATACCCAGCATCAGCCTGGACCGTGATGTCTAAAAGCTTCGTTAGTGCCTCGCTGCCCTGTGCTGGACTCCTCGGGAAAGCAGTGGCGTACCAGAGAAGACCTGACAAAAGCCTGAGGTTTGCACTGTGGGGACATAGGGTCAACCAGCTCGAACCCTGAACCAGGGACTTTGTGTCAGATGGGGAGACCTTTGGAGGGGCAGCCCCGGTCTTCCAGGTCGGTTCTCAAAGGCAAAAAGTGTCTATGATTGTGGAGGTTCAGTTTTCCTAAACAAAATTCATTGGAACGAGGTTTTGGTGGGACAGTCCTGATTTCTAACAATTTTTCCAGTGTCCCGCAGTGTTTTTAAAAAGTCCCGATTTTTGGCCGAAACCGGTTTGGCTCAGTGGTAGAGCATCGGTCTGCGGACTGAAAGGTCCCAGGTTCGATTCCGGTCAAGGGCATGTACATTGGCTGCGGGCACATCCCCGGTAGGGGGTGTGCAAGAGGCAGCTGGTCGATGTTTCTCTCTCATCGATGTTCCTAGCTCTCTGTCTCTCTCCCTTCCTCTCTGTAAAAAAATCAATAAAATATATTAAAAAAAAAAAGTCCCAATTTTTTGAAAGATTGGAAAGATTCTTTCCAAAAATCAGGACTTTTTTTTAAATGCTGCAGTACTCGGGAAAAATTGTTAGAAATTGGGACTATTCCATCAAAAGCGGGACAACCTGGTCACCTTATTTTACACCCTGAAAACAGGTCACCCTCTCTCTTTAAAGTGGGAGGGGGCACCCCTGATTCCTGTACCAGGGGGCGAGAAGCTTCTCGGTGGAGCATGCATGGGGAAAAGGAATGCCTTGATGATAAACTTTCAGAGGAGATAAAAAATACTTTAAAAATATGATAAACTCGGGGGATGTTTATCCACCAAACTAACCAACAGAAGAGTCGCGGTTGGAAGGTGGCTGGTAGCTCTGGGGACGGGCTAGTGGTCGCGGTCCACCCCTCCCGGGGAGGCAGCGCTCAGGCCACTCTGGGTTCGCTGGCCGGGAGCCGGGTGCAGGGAACCCGGATGCTGGGCTGCTTTTCTCCATGTGAATGTGTTGTATGTACCCAGATGTAGTTGTTGCATACACAGAACAGTGCTCTTAATATGTTTGTTTTTATTTTTCCTTTGTAAAAGTATTTTAAAAATTACAGAATTATATTCCTTGTAACCAGTTATCACAGCGGAGCTAAAGTAAAGAACACGTGAATTTCCCTCACACTCCCAAGGTCGCCATGTGGCCGCTTCATGTCCTGGCAGGGCACCTGCCCCCATGCTCCTCTACACACGTGTATGAACTTTTGAAGTGCTGCTTGCTTTTATGGAAATGGGGACAGATTTCACGCTCTGTTCCCTGGCTGTATTCCTTACATAATAAGCCATGGACATCCCACCAGGCCAATTTGAGCCCGTGCTTTTAAACTAGTGACTTAGTACTGTGTAGTGTGAATGTACCGTTATGTCGGGCATGTTCTATTGTCTTCATTCTTTTTTAAAAAAAAATATTTTAAATTGATTTTAGAGAAAGAGAAAGGGAGAAGGAAAGAGAAAGAGAAATACTGATTGGTTGCTTCCTGAAAGAACTGGGGACCCAACCAACACCTGGGCACGTGCTCTGACTGGGAATTGAACCCGCAACCTTTCCGTGCGCGGGGATGATGCTCCAGCCAACTGAGCCACACTGGCCAGGACATCTTGTCTTCATTTTTTTTACTCTCTTCTGTAAGAGTAAGTTTCTTCCTTTTCTCATTTTTGTATTTTATTGATCTTTGAAAAGATCAGCTTTTGTTCACTGTGTCCTCTTTTTTGTTATTTTCCCTTCTGTTTCATTAATTTCGTGTTTCCTTTTATTAAGTCCCAGGATTTGGCCTTAGATAGTCTCATCCCATGGTCTGTGCTCCTCACCCCTATGCTCTCTCACGCATCCTCATGAGCCTTTCCTTTTTCTGTTACTAGCCTCTTTGGGCAAAACAGTGATTTCAGGTGTGAACATGAGAGAGGGCAGTGTTTACTGCTTGGCCTACTTCATGTGAGCAAATTTTGTCCTCTAGCTGGAAAAAGAAGCAATCGGTTTGGAGGCTCCAGATGCAAATGGTCATGTTCAAGTTGGGCTGTCCTCCTCTGCAAGTCAGAGCCATTGGATGCCCGGGAAGGAGATGCCACGCAGATGATCATCATGGCCACGTTGTTATCAATTGTTTTTTTTAATCTCTGACACAATTGACCATGAAGAATCCTGTTGACCTGCTCGCATACTGATGAATTAGCGCCCATTATCCCCATCACACTCTTGGTATTTAGTCAAGAGTAAGTTTGAGTTCTGAGGTGAATGCAGGAAACATAGATCTATCTATTATCTATTATCTATCTATCTATCTATCTATCTATCTATCTATCATCTATCTAGTATCCCATTTAATCTGTCTCCCTCTCAGAGATGATTGTATTTCCCCCACATTCACTGGGCTCCCTCCCCCTTTACCCAAATATAGATGGAAATGCCTACTACAAATGTGGGGAAGACTGACACCGTTGGTATGTTAGTGAACCGATCTCAGTGAACAGTGGGGCCTCCTTTGAGCTCCCCTCAAAAGCAGAAATTGTATGACCTTCTGGCCTTTACATAAAAGGCTGGAACTGACCGGCTCCTGCTTCCCAGAGTGCTTTTCATAAAGTGAACATATCGCAGAGTGTTTATTGAATGCGTGCAACATACTTAGCAAATGCAGGGATTGTAAGAGGTGCAGTCAGCATAAAAATATTTGTTTTTTTTTTAGATGTTTGCATTCTTGGTGGTGGAGGGGAGAAAAACTTATATGCACTGAATAACAGGAGATGGCCAGAAAATTAATTGCACGGCACCGACAGTCAGCATCATATTTATTCAGAAAAAGGGGGTACGTAAAGGCTTCATGAAAGAGGAGGAACCGATGGAGGCGGGAGTAGAATGTGTTCCCTCTGAGAACAGCCGGAGCAGAGCTGTGAGTGACCCGCCTCCTGGGGGATGCTGAGGGAAGAAGCTGACGAGAAAAGGAGGCTGAGGAATTAGGAAAGTGAGGCTGGTGTTATTTTCAAATATTTATTTAAGATCGTGTTTCAAGTCTTTTTTTTAAAAGATAAAATCGTGACTCTCAGGAAAATAGAAAATAAACATGAAAGATTTTATCTAACTCAGTTAGAGGAGGAGCCAGGAAGATGTTAACGAGCAGTTGAGATGGTAGGTAGGGGTGCTAGAGGAACACAGACCAAGTCCATACATGAAAGTTAGGCAACTTCATAAGTAAATGTAAGGATAAGACTGCCGGGTTAGTCACAAGACGGATTAGTGTCTTATAGAACAGCAAGTTGTGTGCCAGGCATTTTGTTAGCACCTCAAATGTTATTCTTCCCACGGCCTCATGAGGGAACAGTTAAACCCACTTTGCAGACAAGTGATATGTAAAATCTTTTGGGTGTTCTGTCCCACTGGCAGAAGTTATTTGCATCTCTGTTGGCAAAAAAAATCTGTAAGTTAACATGTAACCACTAGTTCTGGGACATTTAATACATTTAATCAGAAAACAGTGAACAGAACTAAATACATTCACTGAGGTAGTCCTTGGGTAGCCTTTGTCCTATGTGATTGAGAAGATGTGCGGCTTACGTTTTTTCTTATTTCCAAATATTAGATAATTTTTTAAAAATAACAGTGACCTACAAGGACATGGAGGGGGGAAAAGGGTTTGCTTCAGTGCCCCTCCAGGCTCTGAGATGGCAGCCCCTGTGTGTTTTTGATCTCTAATTAGTTCCTGAATAACGCAGACAGAGAAGCCCAAAGACTCTTCGGCCCCGAATCCCATCCCCTGCCCCTGATCTGCTCCTGTGAGTTCACACTGACCATCAGCAAGCTCTAGGCCGGGGTGGGTATTTATCCTCCTCTCTGGGTAATGGTGGAGAGGTCGTGGGAAGAAATGGAGCTGAGGCAGGGTCCTTGGGAGGGAGGGCTCCTTTAACTCCACGCTGGATCCCAGGCCCCATGCTCACAGGGGTGAGCGGGGTCCTGAGGGTCTGGCCGTGCTGGCCTGTGGCCCCGAATGCTTTTCCTACCTCGCACCGCCTGTCAGTGTGTTGCAGGTGCCATGTACATCACCGGCTTCGCTGAGTCCATCTCTGATCTGCTGAGCCTCAGGAACATCTGGGCTGTGCGAGGCATTTCGGTCGCGGTGCTTCTGGCCTTGCTGGGGATCAACCTGGCGGGTGTCAAATGGATCATCCGCCTGCAGCTGCTGCTGCTGCTGCTGCTGGCCGTGTCCACCCTGGACTTCGTGGTGGGCTCTTTCACACACCTGGACCCAGGTAAGCTTGGGAGGCCGGTCGCTGGCCTTACAGCGTCTGCGCTGCTTCCTTGAAACTCACCCTCCGCATGTTCTGCCTGCCAGTGTGTGCGGTTCCGGGCAGGTGCGTGGGGATGTCCTGGTGCAGGTTCAGAGGCTACACTTAGTGTAGCTGCAGAAAGACACGGACATTTTCCTCACATAGACATTTTCACTTAGCACATGTTCCATGTTTCTGTCTGTCTTCTGTTATAAAATCCCTGAAAATTTAGGTAAGACAATAACATTGAGCTGGGTATAAAAACATCAAATTCATAATGGTGATTAGGGGAGTGGGCAAGAAATAGAGCTGGACTATTTCAGGAAGAAAATGGGACTAACTTTATCTATCATCCTTAAAAAATTATTTCAAAGGACTTGTTGTAAACATAAAAAATGTTAATTGTCATTTTGGGGAAATGGAGGCAGATATAGGTTTGATTACCTATAGTTTTATTTATTACAATTTTTTTTTCAAAGTAAATATACAAATCTATTAACTAAGTTTAAAGACAGAAAATAAACAGGCTGGAATACTCTGCACTGATGTTAGGTACCGATCATCAGGGGATCGCTGCTCTCACCTGCGTTGGCAACTCCATCCTCAGCTCTGATGCGCTGAGTGAGAAGGTCTGACCTAGACCGTCCATGACTCTGTAACGTTGTGATTTGTGTTGGTTTGGCAGCAAAAGTCTTTCTGTCCAGAGTGCAAAGCTCTTCCCAGGACGCAGCAGAAGAGGGTTAACTGCCTAAGAGTTCACATTCAGGGGACTCGTCTGTGTATAGCGAGGTGACCAGGCGCCTGCAGTGGAATACGAACCAGGAAAGGGAGAGAGGCCACCAGCTGTGTTAAAAAAGGAAAAGGGAAAGAAAGAGAAAGAGCACAGCTGGTCCACAGCGCTATCGCCTCCAATGGTGGTGGTGATGGCAGCTGCAATGGACTGAGCAGTTGTGTGCCAGGCGTTTTGTTAGCACCTCAAATGTTTTTCTCCCCACGAGGGAACAGTTATACCCATTTTGCAGACAGGAAACAGAGCTCAGAGATTATAACTCATGGTAATGCGTGGCAGAGCTGGGAATGAAGTAGGTCTGTGGGATTCTATAGCGGAACCATTCCCTGAGTCTGTCTTCATACCGGCTGTCTTTTTATGATAGCAGCTCTGCTTTTCCCCTTCAGGCTGCTCCTGACGTGTATTCTGTACAGGCTTGCCTTTTGTAAAAATGCTGGTTGGATAAAGGTCAGAATTTAGTTGGTGCGACACTGATCTGGCTGTATCACTTCTTCATACATTAAAATTCTTCTTTCGGAAAAGAGTCACTGCCCTGAGTTCCCTGAGTGCCCCTACCGGGCATCCTGGTCCCTCCCCCAGGGCCTCCAGAGTCCCCGTGACCCAGCACGGACAGAGGGGCCCCAAGACCCACACCAAGGCTGCGGGCCAATGCAGTGTCCAAAGGGGCCTGGGCCTGGGCCTGGCAGCTTGCTGAGTATGTGGAGCATCGCCCCGGGAGGGAAGGAGCAGTTGTTATTCCTGGCCTCGCACTCCTGCGTAGAGACAAGCACAGCCTGAGGGAGACCTGCTGCCTCCTGGACACCTAACTGTCCGTGAAAGAGCGAGAATCTTATCTGATTCCTGGGTGCTTCCCCCTCCATCTGTATGGTTGCTGGAAGGAGGTAATTGGTTAAGATGCAGGGAGATGCTCTGGCCTCTTTGAAACCTCACTCGACTGATGTATTTTCCTTCTTCCTGATTAGAACTTTTCTTGGCTGCTCGTCTAAGTAACTCCAAATATTTCTTCTTCCTTCTGGTCAGTACATTAGCAGGGTGCAGTGTGAAATGAAATGTATTTTCAACCATTCCCATAGCAACGGGCCCCTCTGTGATCTGTTTTTGGTATCAGCGATGTTTTATATTATACTTTTTTTTGTGTGGATAAGAATCCAAGCTAAAACTAGATCATAAAACTTCTGAATGGGTTTAGCATAATGATTTCAGCTCCTTTAGAAAATGACATACACATAGACATTTGAAAGAAGACTGGAAGGAACCATACCTATGTATTTCCAGCGATTGTCTCTGCTGAGATCATGGGTGGCTAATTTATTTCACTTCCGCTTTTCTTTCCGTTGACTAGTATTCCTGGCCTTGCCCCACCCTATAGAGACAAGCCACAGCCATATTCCTTTATTCAGCTGGACCACAGTTGTTGTTGTTTTTTTTTTTGTTTTTGTTTTTTTTTCAAAGAAAAATTAATAAATAGCTTTTAGTTTTTAGGGCAGTGTCAGGTTTACAGAAAATTAAGCAGATAATCCTGAGGTTCCCACATCTTCCTTCCCTCACTCCCCGCCACCGTGTTCTGCGTTATTAACACCTTGCATTGGCGTGGTACATCTGTTACAACTGATGAGCCAACAGTGACACATTATTATTTATTTATTTATTTTCTTATATATTTTATTGATTTTTAACAGAGAGGAAGGGAGAGAGGAGAGAGAGAGCTAGAAACGTCGATGAGAGAGAAACATCGGCCAGCTGCCTCTTGCACACCCCCTACCGGGGATGTGCCCGCAACCAATGTACATGCCCTTGACCGGAATCGAACCTGGGACCTTTCAGTCCGCAGACCGACGCTCTATCCACTGAGCCAAACCGGCTTCGGCGACACATTATTATTGACTAAGGTTCATAATTCAGGGTAGGATGGGCCCTTTATGCGGTATAGTTCTTTGGGTTTTGACAATATAGTTCTATGGGTTTTGACAGCATCACAATATCATACAGAACAGTTTTAAGGCCTTAAAAAACCCCTGTGCCGCACCCCCTCACCCCCTCACCTCCCGCTTTGAACTCCTGGCAACCACTGATCCTTTTACTGTCTCTATAGTTCTGCCTTATCCAGAATGTCAGCGTTGGAATCATAATAGGCAGCCTGTTCAGGCTGGTTTCTCTCACTAAGCAATATGCAGTCAAGGTTTCTCCATGGTTTGTCATGGCTTGAAAGCTTGTTTCTTTCTCTCTTTCTTTCTTTCTTTCTTTCTTTCTTTCTTTCTTTCTTTCTTTCTTTCTTTCTTTCTTTCTTTCTTTCTTTCTATTACTGAATAATATTCCATTAGATAGCAGCACCACAGTTTTTTCTTTTTCAATCCGTTCACCAACTGTGAAGGGCATTTTGGTTGCTTCCATCTTTGGTGATTATAAATAAAGCTTCTATAAACACCCGGGTGCCCGTGTTTGTGGGCATATAACCTTTTCACCCATTTGAATAATTACCCGGTAGCATGGTTGCTGGGGCATACGGGAAGGCTGTGTTTTCCTTTGTAAGAAACTAACAAACCATCTTCCGAAGTGGTTTTGCACCACTTTGCATTCCCATCAGCAGCGAGTGAGAATTCCTGTCCCTCCACATCTTTTTCAGCATTTGCTATTGTCGGTTTTATTCTTATTTTAGCCGTTCTAATAGGTACGTTGTGGTATCACATTGTTTTAATTTGCAATTCCCTGATGACATTTGATGCTGAGCTTCTGTTCATATGCTGCTTTGACTTCTGCATGTCATCTCCAGGGAGGCCTCTGTTCATATTTTTTGCCCATTTTTAAATTGGGCTGTTTTCTTATGGTTGAGTTTTAATTTTTTTTTTTTCTGAACAGGCTTATTACACACACAGAGTTGGGGCTCAGTCCTTTCTCGTGGCTGGAAGGACACTGCTCAGCTCCTCTTTCTTTCTCTCGGCGTGGACATGCATTCTCACTCTCTTCCTGATGAATTTCAGGATCCTCTTGTCCTTAGAGACCTGGAGCAGCTCCATTCTGAAGTCCCACCGGTCGTTTATAAGAGTATATCTCTACATAATATTGAGCATGTTTAATCTTTCACGTGTCTGCCATGTGATGGGCAAAATTGTGATCCTTTTCTCTTAATTTGCTTTTCTTAAATCATTCATTAGCATAATTTAATTTATATTTTTATTGTCTATATAAAATATATAGACAATATATAATTGTCTATAATCTATTATTTTAAAAATATTTTTATTGATTTCAGAGAAGGGAGAGGGAAAGAGAGATAGAAACATCAATGATGAGAGAGAATCATCGATCAGCTGCCTCCTGCATAACCCACACTGGGGATCAAGCCCACAACCTGGGCATATACTCTGACCAGGAATCCAACCATGACCTCCTGGTCCATTAGGTTGACATTCAACCACTGAGCCACCCTGTCCGGGCTGTTAGCTTTATTTTCTAGGTTTTTGCCATTATTTAAAAAAAATTTCTCTATTGAGCTTTCTACTTATGGGCATTTCCCCCCGGGCTCCTATATTGTTTTCTCTCGGAGACTCCTGCTCACCATCCTCCTGGACGGATCACAGCTCCCGTGCGGGGACATGCCTTCTCTGCGTCCAGCTGTTGGTCCTGATCGTCTGGAAGCCAAACCATCCTCTCCTATCTGCCACGGAAAATGTCACTTTTCCATTTTCGCATGCGAATGGTGGGAGATGAAAGTCTAGGCTGAAAATAGCGTTCCCTTAGAATTCTGAAGTCATTGTTGTTCTCCCTTTTGGCGCTCCCTGGCACCCAGCGGCGTGGCCCCGTTCTGGTTTCTGCTTTTGATGGGTGACTCTTTCTTCTCCTCAAAGTGCGCACGGTCCTCCCTTCACCCTGGAGGCTCTAATATTTCATAATGGAAATTCTTATTCGTCGGCCTGGGCACTTTTAATCTCGAATTTTCAATTATTCTTCTGGCAATTGCTTCTCCTTTGTTTTCTAGGGCTTTACACTTTGTATTATTTTCTTGAATTCTGACTAATTGGATGTTGGAGCTCTTGACCTGAACTTCCTGTTATTATTTGTTCTAATCTTCTCACTCCTATAATTTATCTCTTTTCCCTCCTTCCCTATTGTATGGGCGAGTTCCTCAGCGTCTAACCTTTTTAGTGAACATTTTTGTTTTGTCTGTCAGAATTTCTTTGTTGAGTTCTTTGTT